TTTTTTTTATACACATATATATATATATACGATATGTACATGAGTGTGCAGGGAAACATGCACGCAGCGGCTGATGTGTTGTGTGGGTACCTCATATTGTGCACACAGCTCACATGTACACATGTGTATACCTCTACAGACACCCCCGCGCGACTGCAACTATCACAGACATATAATATAATTACTCATTTATGAAGGCAAAAAAAAAAAAAAAAAATAAAAAGAGCAAGAAAAAAAGGGGGACACATTTTCTACACATGTGCGTGTATCAGTGAGGGGAGAGCAGCACCGCAGGGACGACACCCCCGCCGATCCTGACGTCTATACAACAAAATGACACGCTAAGTTCTGTCAAGGGGTGTTAACACGCTGGTCTGTTGCGCGGCGCGAGCTCGTCAAAAAAAAAATATGCAACTGTTTTGTGTGTGGGTGCAGTGTAACGGATCTTCTCTTCCATTGTTCTCTTCTTCTTCTTCCTCTGCGTTTATCACCGCGCTGCACTTCTTTCATTACGCATTGCTACATTATATGTCCTTCTCCTCCGCGCTGCCTGCATTGTCCTTGTTGGTGGAGTTGTCCGTCTCGTCGGTCTCCTTGGCGTCCTTACTATTATCCTTGTCTCCATTATCGTCGGCCTCGTTTTTATCAGCCTGTTGGTGTTTCTTCTTTTCCTTTTCCATTTTCTCCTTCTCCATTTTTTCCTGTTTTTCCTTCTCCTTTTGTTTGGCTAATTCTTCTGCCTCAAGTTTGGAGAAATGTTTCTGCGCCATCTGTGTAACTTCGTTAAATTCGTTTTCTATATCCTTGAGGGTATATAGCGGTGCCTCGTACAAAGGCTGCTTCATTTCTTTCTCCTGCATGGCATTAATATTGTCGAGCAGATTTGTCGTCCTGGAAATAATTTTTTGACTTTCCTCTGATGGTCTTTTCTCACACTGTGCAATGATATTCTTCAAATGGTTCAAAATATTCCCCAAGTTATTCTGTTTCGCAGTGTACGTATCGTATTTATAAATGATATCCTTTACCCTATCCCTAATTTGTTCCTTTTTCTTTATAAAGGCATTTTTGTTTTCATCAATATTGTCATATATCCAATTTTCACAATCATCTAGGGCTAGCAAAATGGAGTCTCTCTCTTCATCCATTACAAAATCTTTATACATTCCATTTAGTCTGTTCCTCGTTTCGTATATAATTGTCTCCAACTCATTTATATTTTTCAACCTTTCTGCTTCTTGCAAATCACTGTGCTGCATATTTATTTCAGCCTCACTAAAATTGTATATATCTTTTGTACTGTATGATCCTGGAGCTCCAATGACCTCGATAGGTAGGGTAGTGTAGCATGTTTGTATTTTTCCTTCTTCTCCTTTTTTCAATTCTGCTTTATTTCCACTCTGGTGAGATAGAGTTGCATTACCATTGGGGGTTTGTCCATCCATGTTATTTTCTTTACCTTCATTCGATTCATCTTCATTAGTTTTCTTATCCTTCACATCTGATTCCCCTTCATTTGAACCATCTGCACATTCTGCCCCACCTGATGCATCCCCTTTTTGTATGTCTTTTTTTTCTTCACTTTTTTTTTTATCGTCTTTAGATTTAATAACCGTCTTGGAAACACTCTGTGCTCCTAAGAAGGTGAAGGTATCACTTTCCGAGAAGGTGGTCAACACATGTGATTCAACAATTTTGTCATTCTTGTCATTTACTTTGATGAGACATGAACCCAATTCTTTAATGCAGTGTGGTGGTAAATCTGGGCTGTCCTCATAATAGGCAGTGACCTTTATTTGTCCCTTTTCAGGAATGACTACTTTCTTCACCTTTTTCTTTAACGAATCTGTATCGTATAATTTTTCCACGTTGGACTTGGAGGGATCATTTACATTATGCCATTCCACACTAATCGGGTGCGTCACTTTTTCTATGCATTCATACTCCTTGACTTTGTAGTGTTTACTAACCATGGCTCCTGACAACACACAACCTCTGGCGACAGACTCATCAGCAATTAGCGTTTTGGATAATGGCTTGTCAAAATATTGCTGCAAAAATTTCTGTATGAATGGAATTCTAGTAGAACCTCCTAAAATTTCAATCGACTGTACATCTGAAATGTTCAACTTGCTTACTTGCATGGCTTTATTTAATAAGGATTTCAATTTAGATAAAAAAAATGGGGCACACAACTCTTCAAAGTTGTCTCTACTTATAAATCCTTGACAATCGAGGTCTTCATAAAGGCACTCCACATGTATAGAAGTTTCATTATTCGCTGAGAGGATTTTCTTTGTCTTCACTGCAACGTCCTGTAGCTTCACCCTTATCTTATTATTAATTGGGCTCGTTTCATTGTTCGAGGTCACAAAATAAGGATTTAGTTTTCCTGTTCCCATTTCGCACAGATCAGTTGACCTTACTTTGTACAACGGGTTCATCTTATGTGAGTTAATAAACACATTGTTGATGTACTTAATAAGTTCATTGTCAATATTCCTTCCACCCAAATTGGTATCCGCAACGTCACTCAAAATTTCACACTTATTAGAGAAAAAACGAGCAACACACACACATGTGTTCGCGTAACCTATGTTAACAAACACAACCACTGACCCAACGTCATTTTTAAATTCTTTCATTCTATACATACCATAATCTAAAGCAACGGCTGTGTTATCACTAATAATTCTCAACGCATTAACGTTAATAATTTTTGTCGCTGCCATGAGACATTCCTTTTGACTGTTCGTGAAGGTAGGGGGGTAGGACAAAACGACTTCGTTGCATTCTTTCCCTAAATACCTCTCTGCCAATTTAATTAAAAAAAAAAGAAGAGCTGACAACACTCGAACGGCACTTATTTCTACCTTTTCATTTTTATAATCTACTTCATACCCCAGATAGTTATGTTCACATGGTACTATATTTCCAAAGGACTCGCTCAATTCTATATCGTCCTCCTCAGCCTGTGTCCCTAATTTGCCAATCAGGTTTTTTATATTCCTGCATGTGTTCTTAAAGTTTGACTTCACTTTGGATAGCGCGTTATCTCCAATCAACCTCTCCTTCTCTGTGAAGGCCACCATAGTAGGCGTCAGCCGCTCCGACACATCGTTCCGAACTATGTTGATGGCTCCCTTGTTGATGGCTGCAACCACGGAGTTATCATTTCCTATATCAATTCCGAGCACTGACATAATTTCTACGTCTGGAGAGAAAACTATAAGTGTGTGGGGGAGGGGTAGTAAAAATAATCCCTTAATTGGTAAACGAAGGAATTAACAGGGTGTTGTGTGCCTCGTTTATGTGGCTTCTTCCTGATGCGCTTTCCTCTTCTAGGTTGCGTAGCCCTTCTTTTGTTATTTTTGTTTTCTTTTTCTCAATCGGTTGCTACTAATATTCTGTAGATATCTCCCTTAAGGCAAAAGAAAAAAAAAAAAAAAAAAAAAAAAAGGCGTACTGAACAAAAGATTTTTTTTTTTTTTTTTTTTTTTTTTCCTTTATTTCTTCAGTTGATTGCAATCCCTGTTTGCTGCTTTTTTTTTCGCGTTCCAAATGGTTAACAATTCCACTTTTTTTTATTTTATTATTTTTTTCCTTTGCTTTCCCTGTAAAGTTCTTTTTTTATGTGCTTTCAATTTTTTACGTTAACAATTTTTCTCATGAGCGTTCTTTTTTTTTTTTTTTTTTTTTAAAAATTCAACCTCGGCATTGTTCGCAAAAAATTGTAGGGGTAAAAAAACTGGCATGGAAGGGTTTTTCGTCCCTTGGTCACTTTTATGCTGCGAGCCTGTTGGGGGTAGGCATATGGGTACGTAACGTAGTTTTAAGTACGCGTTATATTATATGCTTCTCCACTTTTTTTTGTTTTTTTTGCGGAACAAATATTGTGGTGCTTATTTATAACAGGAGAGGTTACAAAAATTGCGGGATGAGGCGCACAAAAGATGAGGTTGAGGGGAGTGGGAATATGGCGTTAGCGCGACGGCATACCACTTGGCTTTAATAATATATCGACGCAGCAATGTCGACAAAAGGAACGATTTAAAGCGGAACCAAGGGAGTACTTTTATTTTTTTTTTTTCCTGCGGGCATACACGCATATAATAATATGTGCCAAGCATGTAGGCAAATAATTATATGTAGGTATATATATACTACGCTGTGCGCGCAAAAATTGTAACTGGGTTGGGGGCATTAAAAAATACGGTTGAAAGTTCCGAATGAGGAATCGTTTTTTTTTTTTTTTTTTTTGGCCAAACATGCATGCTCTATATAATGAGGACAAGCTCGCCGAACAAATGCTTCTGCAAAATGGTGAAGCGAGTACAAAAAGTTTTTATAGCCCCGTGCGGGGGGGCCGGTCGCATGCAAAAGCTCACGTATGCGCTTTAAGGCACAAGTGACAGTTTTGCTAATGGTTAAAATGTTATTATGCCCTATATGGAGTCGCCCCGCGTAGCTGCTCGGGAATAAGGGATTTGCCACCTGCGCAAGGCCAGCCGTATTAGCGATTGCCATTTTTGTGGCAGGCAATACTTTGTGGGCATTTCCTGTTTGCCTCTCCCCTTTTACCGCTCCTTTTGTACTGCTCTCCTTTAGGGTTTCGCTTTCCTGGCTTCCCTTTTACCGTTTTTTTTATTTCCCCTTTCTGTGGCATCTTCCAAAAGAATGCCCTTCACATTCATCCCCTACAGCAGCCAAAAGAGCAGGCCACATACTTTTGGGGCAGAAATGGCAAACATGTGGGGGATCGCAACGTGGGAATGTTTAGCCACATGTGAAAAAATCGCCGTCTCCAAAAAAAAGGCCAATAAGTTGAAACTAAACTTTTTCAAACCAAATGACGTGTAAATGTGTTTACATGCACGTGACATGAACGTGACATGGAGGTGGCCTGGTCTGACCTTACCATGTTGTCGCAGTGTACCATTTTGTTTTTTAAGGGCATGCTTCTCATGCAAAGGCGTCATCGAAATGACCCCCCCACACACACACCCCTCCTCTTCTGCATCTCTTTTTCGCGCATATGTAAAGGTGAAAAGGAAAAGAAGTTGTGTTCGTTTTCATAACACCCTACGAGGATTGTCATTAAACAAAAGGTCTGGTCAAAATGATTCGGCGAAGGGATATGTGTGTGGGGGGAGGGGGGAGAAAGGAGATGCTAAGGCGGAAGTGTGCACCGCGTTACATATTGCGAGGAAGGAAACACACAAAAGGAGAGGGTGTCTCCCCTATTGCTCATTTATGGGTACACTTCTGCTCGATTAGCATCCCAGTGAAAATCTCCCAAGCTCAAAAGGAACAACTGGGGCACCATATTATTTAGAACGGTCTCCCCCCTCAAATGGAGTACGAAAAAACAGGGTGTGGTAAGTACCGCCCCACTGATCCACAATGTAAGGGTAAAGGTATAGGAACGGCAAAGGTGTGATGTTCTTAATCGAAAAAGGGGGATTCCTCTCAAGCAGCTTTTCTATAAGGATCCATTGGGGAAAACCAAATGGCACAAAAAAAAAAAAAAAAAAATGGCTTCCCTTCTTTGACAATGGCAAAGGTGTGGACGCATGAAAATACTTCTGTCCCGTCGTTTCGCTGTTCCACCCGTTACACACAATTCGGTAGATCACTTCTCTTATTAAAAAAAAAAAAAGATGACCAAAAGGAACAACCAATTTTTTTCTCTCTCTCGTTTTGTGACTGCCTTCCAAATGGCTAACAATGCATAGCTGCCATATGATGTAGCGACGTGATGTGGACATGTGGGCATAACCTTTTAATGGTAAGTATGCTGCAAGCGTGCGAAAGGATTTTTTTTCCCCGCACATGAAGCACTTCCACATTGTAATACCTCATAACTTCAGATTACAAAAAAAAAAAAAAATGCTTCATTACACGTGTGCACAGATTTACAGAAATGTAAATATATTCGACACTTGCCTTTCTTTATTTACCTTTTTTTTTTTTTTTTTTTTTGTAATTTAATTGTCCCCCTCGAAGAGTACTGTCAACCCCACAGTAACTACGTAACGTGCTTTGGAGGGTTATCACGGGAACATAAACAGAGGTGTCCCTCCTCCCATATCTTGTCATACATGTTTTGTATTCTGTGTAACTTTATGGAGACCCAGTAGGGAAAAAAAAAAAAAAAAAAAAAAAAAAAAATTTTGTCACTTATACATACGATTAAATCCAGTAAAAAAGACAAAAAAAAAAAAAAAAAAAAAAATTAAAAAAGAA